TACTACCCGGGTACCCGCCCCGGCCCCTATTACCCTACCCTACCCGGGTACCCACTGTAGGTCTCAGGAGATGTCTCAAAATGTCAGATTGGGAACTATTTTAGCATAGCCCTGGCAAAACGTATTTAGATACATGTATGAAACAATCTGGTCATACATACACTGAAGTTGACAAATAAGTTATATCTTTATTCATCCATATGACAAATCAGAAGAAATGGGTGCATAGTCAGAAAGAAAAGCGAACATTAATGACAATGTATCATGTGACTAACCACGGGTCTGGGTAATCGTGTGGGTACCTGGGTCCTACTCAGTACCAACCCGACCGGGGTACCTGAGTAACACGTCCCAGCTCTAAACTCCACGATGTTTGTACTTTTACATGCTTAAGTGTTATTGTATCATACTGGGTTTATATCAATAATTTGAAATTGCATGTTGAAATTGAACACAGCTGTGAGATTTATAAGATGTGATTTATTGATGTAACAGAACAGCTGTTAAAATGCCCATTCAAGTTGCAAGGGAAATACTGTATCTGATTTATTGAAGCATATTTTTGATAAATGGTGTACCATATTCACAGTTCACACACAAAGCATTTAACATGGAGATATGGGATTTACATATGTTTATTCTTATCATGATGATCATAATCTGATAAATCTATTTTTAGTCCAACCCGGCTGGGACTGCCCTTCAGTCAAGTTTGAAATTGTCCTCAGGAAAGTTATTTATGCCATATTGGTCTCCCATATCAACAATGATCAATGATTTCAGAAAAAATAACTAAAATATCACAATTCTGAATTTAGATTAATAATATACATAAAATCATTTCAAATATCTTACAATGGTAAACAAATATTCACATAACACTGTTTGTAAACAATTCCTGAAGTCTGTTCTGTCCGAAACCAATTACTAACAGAACAATAATTTCCTGTTTAGTATGCCAACAGCGTCCAACCTCCATCATGTGACTCACTTAACAAAGTGCCGTGAATGTCAAGAAATAAATTGTTACAGTTGCAGTCAAATGTAATTATCGAACCAACAACTTATGAAACATTTAACACAAGTCCATGGAAAGAAACAAAGATATTTGTAATGAAAACAGCAATTAAATTCTGTACTTGTGCCAAACTAATGCATTATTTTCTAAACGCGAAAATGAAAGCATGTGTGTAAAAGGATGGAAATGAAGCATGGCGACTTTAGGGGCAAGGCAGAGGCGATTCTCTGCAACAGTGAACAATACCGTTCTGCATCATTAACACCTTGTGTGCATTGGGCATGTACATTAAATAGTCCTCCCCATTAACACCACAAGGGAAGGGATCAGGGAGCAAAGCGCCACCTTGCCGCGTACCCTTATCTGGGGGAAATCAACATTCTGATGTTCAGATTAAGAGACACATGTTCATACCTGGTTTAATCTGATAAACAGAATCAGATTCTAAGGGCCTAATGGCCTTGTTCATCTAGAACTTATAAACACTGATCAAGTATGTGATATGTACATTAACATACTACCTGACCGTCTTCATGTACAATGTATCCAGTTTCTAGCTCTCCTTACTTTCAGTGGAGACTTAATGTATTTGACATATTAATCGCCCATGCATGCAAAAAAAGCTTCAAGGGCGGATAGGTATTAAACACTAAACATTCCACTTTGTTAACACTGGGTGAACATGCCATCTTTTTCAGTATTTCATTAACATGTTAAAAGAGATAAAAGATTGTTGCTTTAGTTTAGGATGTACAGATAGAAATGGATCTGTCATGGGTGATTGTAAGATGTTCAAGCTCAAGTGTGGAGTTTTAGGTGTGACAAGACTACTATTGATCCATCTTTGAAGTGTGTGTGTGTGTGTGTGTGTGTGTGTGTGTGTGTGTGTGTGTGTGTGTGTGTGTGTGTGTGTGTGTGTGTGTGTGTGTGTGGTCACTCAGTGATTCATCTTTGAAGTGTATGTGTGTGTGTTACTCAGTGTGTGTGTCACTTAGTGTGTGTGTGTTTTAGTGTATGTGTGCGTGGTGTCTGTCACTCAGTGTATGTGTGTGTTCCTCAGTGTGTGTGTGTCACTTAGGGTGAATGTGTTTTTAGTGTATGTGTGTGTCACTCAGTGTGTGTGGTGTGTCACTCAGTGTGTGTGTATGAGTGTGTGTGTGGTGTCACTCAATGTGTGTGTGTGTGTTTTTAGTGTATGTGTGTGTGTTTGTCTGTCTGTCTGTGTGTGTGTCTGTGCATGTGTGTATGTCTGTCTGTGTGTGTGCACCCCTGCCCCTCTAGATCAACATACTTTTTAGACAACACACAGTGGAATATAATCAATCATTTGTAATCCCAATATGAAATGTTCCATTTCACCGTGAAGGACAAGCAACAAACAAACATATGATGTGACGTTATTGCTGGCCACTGTTTCAGCCCAACATCACAACCATACCCTAATTTCCCCCGCGAATCTCCATGTTTGAAGTTAGACAGTAGCACAAAGCTGCAACCAGAATCTTACACCAAACAACGGCAATGGCTAATGTTGACAAGGTAACAAGATTATCTCGGACCATAGCTGGTCAATAGATTAGGCAAACTTTTCACCCATATGACGTTAATTCTGCATAGTCCACCTTTATTTACAAGTGACCACATTCCTCCCAGGGCCTGGTCCAGGTAATCCCGAGCTATCAAAGAGGGTCGTGGCTCAACCACAGGTTTGATAAGCGCCGAGGAAAACATGTCTGCTTGCCGTGTGTACGCAGCGAAGAAAGCAAACAGAGCCAGGTCGTGGGGCTAGCACATGACGATGAAGTTAGGACTAGTGCTATAATGACCGCTGGTCACTGTGAGAACTTGGAATGACGGGAATGTACCTGAATTTATTCGTGTTTCTCAACAGAATATCTTGAGATTGTATCATCATCTCCATCCCAACTTATCAGTCGAAGCTGATGGAAATCAATATTTTCAGACTACATGTGTGCATTAGGAGGTTGGAGGTGCAGTGTGTTTTATTATTTAAATTTGTAAATAGTCCCTTCTCCGACTCAGATCGCAGACATATTCTTGTAGCTGTACATATGTAGCCAAGGTTCTAATTCAGCATGCTCACTGAGGCAGCATGTCCACTACTCCGTCATCATCTTCATGTCAATACATAGAAATTGTGTAATCATTCACATTACATAATGTTGTGTTTCAGATAAAAGAAATCATAAAATCTTAACTCACTCGCTCATTTCATCAAAACGTCAAAGTGAGTGAGTTGGGTTTTACGACGCTTTTAGCAATATTCCAGCAATATCACAGCGGGGGACACCAGAAATGGGCTTCACACATTGTATCCATGTGGGAATCGAACCTGGGTCTTTGGCGTGATGAGCAAACGCTTTAACCACTTGGCTACCCCATTGCCCTCATAACCTCGAAGGTGCTATTTAGTTCAAACTGTCAAACACTGGTACCAGGCCTGACTACCCTTACTTGACTGATTGGCACAACACCAAAGACTTAAAATTCCTCACAACCAATTCCATTGATCCTGATCATTCTCACTTCAGTCACAGTTGAACGAACACAATATTTCCTGCTAATTCATGTACATAAAGACAGTGTTACATGCTCCTAGGATAACTAGCATGTTATCAAAACATCTACTATTTATGAAAGTGGGATATAATATCATATATATATCAGTCAGGAATATATTTATATTTTTGTACAAGAATATATTACCATGTGGAACACATGCTATCAGACACTATTAAACAGAAGCAACATTGTTGTATGTTGTAAAACTCACTAGTCAAATGCTACCTACTCAAGATAACTCACTGTAAAAACATGTCATCACTACACAATGAAGGGTGTGTACAGTGTTGATTGGAACAGGCTAATTTCAATTTCAAGTCCTGTCAACATGTCTACTTTCATTGACCATGATTTGACATACATGATCCTCAGGGCAAATATGTAACAGTTATATCAGTGGCTAACATTCATATTAGGACCTTCATTTTAAACACGTTTGTTACTGCTCCACAAGCCAAGATGGGTACTACAGATATGAATAATATAAACTTCTATCACATTGAGAAGCTCCCAAACATGACTCCCCTCTGTGTAGTATGGACAGTGTTTTGGTAATGACTACAAGGTATTTGTGCAGTTTGCTGTAAAAACATATATGTTTCTGAAACAATATATAGGGTTGTGTTAAATCAGATGTCTCCTCTTACAAATAGATGCTGTGCTGTAATACCACCTTAAATCAAAGAAATACACAGTGATGTGTTAAACATTGGTTAGAGATCCACCAAGTCTGAAACTTATACCAAGATTAATTTTCTACAAGTAATAGTTCACTCTTTGGCTAAAATCACGGTTCAATATGATAAGAGGTTCATAAAAAAGCATTTTCTCAAATTTCCACCAATAATCATATTTCACTGGTATCGGGCCATAAATTCTCAAATTTGCTGTCCAGTTCCGAGAAGAACCCCCTGGGTGATTTATCAAATGATCTGGTCTCGGAGTCCCCTTCCTCCCCTAAATTCTTTCCCCTCGACAAAGCGTGATCAAAGAATTGATAGGGACTTGGTAGGGTCATAATACCCTACTGTTCCCCCCAAAGACGCTGGACAATGGGGAAAACGTCCCTCCTTTGCACGGTACTGAGTCCTCAACAAAGAGGGACGCGCCCTAACTAAATCATCTGTTTTTACGGTCTGTTTTGTTTTTCATAACAAACTACTGCCCGTGGCAGGTAAGATTTGCGGGGCTATGAACTCGTGAAATAGCAAGTTACTCGCTTGCTTGTGTCTAACGCTTCAACGGGCCCTCGGTCTGACCCGTCCAATATACGATGTCACTGATCATAAACTTCAAAGAGAATGTCCCTCGCAGCGTCCGTATAGATGTATACACCTGTGTGTTTGAATATCTCTTAAATGTTTTATGATCGAATAAAAAAAGAAGAAATTCGTCCTACCTCCGTTGTATCCTCTGTACTCTAATGCCACTCGTCCTAAAAAAGCGGCTAAGGTAAAAATGCGAATGACAGTGCAAGACACCATTCTTCGCTATACGAGGGGTCGGGGCCCCGCCTGGCCGCACGGCGAAACACACAGTCCGATGGTATCCAAATTTGAAGTAAATCCACAAAAACAAAGCATATTGAAACACTGCCACTATTCAACAGGTGAAAAATCCATCGTGTTCAGGTAGATGTCAGATGAACGCTCATGTGGATTGCCCCTCGAGTCTCTGGGCCATTCATGAGAGTCGTTCGTAGTACACACTGCCAAATGTGGCGTGACGTAAACAGTGTAACGGCGGTCCCGCGTGGACCGCGAGAAAGGGGGCGGGGCTTATTGGAGTAGCGGGAATCCCATGCACGCGGAGACCGTGGATTAAAGGTATACTCCCGTTAACGGTATGACGACAGTACCGTAAAGCATGTAAAAATCGACACGTATGAACTAAAATGGGTGTGACATTGTTTTTCAAACATTTTGTCGGTATATAATCCTGCAATACCTGAATCCCACTGTTTCATTTATTCTAGGCAGATATTATGGATTATTTATACCGAAGACGTGGTTAAATGGTCTAATTTTCTTAAATGCGACGTTTGATACAGATACCAATACAATCAAGGATACAACGTGCGTGCGTGCGTGCGTGCGTGCGTGTGTGTGTGTGTGTGTGTGTGTTGTGTTTTAATTTGGTTATAAACATATCTCCAACTGACTTAGTTAAAGTATGTGTTACAAATATTTCTTTGTTGTTTAACGCCTCATTCAGCAATATTCCAGCTATATGACGGCGGTCTGTGAATCATCAAGTCAGGACAAGAAAATCCAGTGACTGACATCATGAACATCCATCTACGCGATCGGGATACGATGACATGCATCAACCAAGTCAGCGAGCCTGACCACCCGACCCCGATAGTCGCCGCTTATAAGCATGGGTTGCTGAAGATCAATTCTAACCCGGATCTTCTTTGTGGTTTTTGATACATTAAGTTATGTGCTTACATGTTAAGTATGGGTCAAAAAGTGGGGATGCACGCCCCCTCTGTATCTGGGTATGCAGTTATCTAACGAGTGATCAACAGGTGGGCAGAAGGGCAGACTATATATAGGTTACATGTACACAGAGGGAAACGACAATCAGGGTGACGAATGACGACACAAGATGAAGCCTACGAAGGAGGCATGTGTCAAGGTCGTGATAAGATAGCGATAATTAATTACACTGATGAATGACATTTGTTGAAACGTCGTGACTATGGCATCTTTCTTAATTAAGAAATTTTGTTTCTGTTTAACGCCGGACTCAGCAATATTCCAGCTATACGACGACGGTCTGTAAATCATCGAGTCTGGACCAGACAATCTAGTGATTGGCATTATAAGCATCGATCCACACAATTGGGATTCGATGACATGTAACGAACTAAGTCTGACCTTCCGATCCCGTTAGTCGCCTCTTACGACTAGCATGTGTTGATATAGATAGGGACCAACTCTAATCCGGAAGCAGATTTATTTGAAAAGGATTCGTCGGTATAAATAAATTAATGATAGAAATACCGTCTCTTCTAATAGGTCAGCCATTCAGGTTCTAGTCATCCCACACAACTTGTTTTACATTCTGTTTTACCAAAAAAACCTTAGATGTATTGAAGGATAACATATTCGACACTAATGTATCTGTGTTAACGCCACACTCAGAAATATTCCAGCTATGTGAACTCTTCCTCTAAATAATCGAGTCTGGATCAGACAATCCAGTGATTGATAGTGTGAGCAATGATCCACAACGTCGGGGTTCGATCACAATCGATCAATCAAGTCACCGATCCGGATCCATTTGGACTCTTCTTACGACCAGCATAGGATGCTAGGGACCAATTATACCCCGGAATCCCCCCGAGGGTAGGTGATAGCAACCAAATAAAAAAGGGGGGGTTATTTAATATTTAATCTGAAGTTGTTTTCTTCGCAGTGTAACGGAGGTTATTTTCGACGCAAAGAACTTACAACTGACTTATATGACCTTCACCATTACATGCACTAGGGAGTATGTATATACACTATACTCTGAAAGAAAAACAAAACGCAAAAGTGATTTTAGATGTATATTCCATTTATACCGTATAAATAATCAACATATGGTCATCGCCTGTTCAAATTGGCACACATCATTGTCCTTGACCCAGGTTCCACATGGCACACATGGAACAGTAGATTTTCAAGGTGAAGGTCATGTCATCTGTTCTCAATATCTTGAATGGCCACCATTAGAGTCCAAAAGTGACTGGCATCGTCGTCCCATGGAAGCAATCAGATCCCGAATTGTGGCCTGGGGAAAGTCCACCCATTCTGCCTGCACTGCTTGTGCCAACTATTTGAGGTTCTGTGGTTTTTGCAGTCCTTGATCCAGTGCATCCCATAAATGTATGATTGGTTTTAAAGCCGGAGACCTGGAGGGCCATGACAAGACCTGGATATTTTGTGTTGTGAAAATGGCTGATGTCAGTCGTGCCATGTGAGGTCGGGCGTTGTCTTGTTGGAAAATGACGTCCGCGTGTTGCATAATGGGAAGGACCTGTGGCCGAAGAATTTCATCCATGTAACGTTGTGCGGTTAAATTCCCCAGAACTTGCACCAAGTCTGTTCTACCGTCGTAGGAGATGGCTGTCCACATCATCACACTACCGCCACCAAACTTGTCCACTTCCTGTATGCAGTTTCGTGCATTCCCCGTGAAGCGACGCCTACCATCCGCACGGCGAAGTATAAAACGTGACTCGTCACAAAACCAAACTTGTCTCCATCGCAGTTATGGCCATACTCTGTGATCTAGACGCCGTTGATATCACGTCGCTGCCGACGATGTCCGTCACAATGACTGCTCGAACGGATCGTCCAGCGTCAATACCCTCAGCACGTAAACGGTTCCTCACTGTCTGGGCTGATATCCTATGCAATCCTGGTAATGCCGCAGTTGTCAAGGTGGTCGTGGTGGTTCCTTCACGTAAGAGACGTGGCCGTATGAATCTGCCCTGTGCTCTAGTAGTGATACGTGGTCGAACGTATCTGAGGTCCCGTGTTGTCCCGCGTGTCTTATAACAGTTCCACAGTCTTGTAATGAATGGTGCTTGATGCCACATGGAAAAAAAACATGGCTACAACTGAAAATGATTCTCCTGTTTGAAGTCGGCCGATGGCGTTGTTGCGTTGGGTTTGCGTCAGTCGTGGCATGTTTTCGCTGTTCACTCGCTGCAAGATTGTTATGGCATGCAAATGAAAACCTAACGTTTTTATAGCCCAAGAAGTGATGTTGCACGTACATGTAATGTTGGTGTGTTTCGGCGCTAGGCTCTCACGTGGTTGTGTTTTTGCGATATTTTCATCTTTTCTCCAACTTTCTGCAGTACCTCGTTCTTTCCACACAAATCAATCTCAACTCATGACCATTTTTGGTAGTAGTTTTGTATAGATGTCGGCATCACTCTGTCAGATATTTACGATTTTACTACTTTGGCGGGTTTTTTGTGTGCAGACTATATGTATTAGAATGTCAGGTCACATAGGCCATGTGTCAGTTATTCACGGGGCAATCCACATGAGCGTTCATCTGACATCTACCTGAACACGATGGATTTTTCACCTGTTGAATAGTGGCAGTGTTTCAATATGCTTTGTTTTTGTGGATTTGACAGAACAAACACGGTCCATGGTCTTTCAAGTAGTCGTCTACTCCTGTGCGTAGTTATATGAGAATTAAGACGGCCACACCTATAAACTACCGGACGTGTACATTTCAAGGTCTAGTACCGAACCTGTCGACTCGTCAAATTTGCAAGTCTACCTCATCATATCTGGACATTTGTTAAGTGCTACATATCGGGTCGCCCGCCCCTGGGCATGTTGGTATAATATATACTCGTGTCCTCGGCTGATATGTATCGGTATTATTGACAAGGGTGTGGAATAAACTTGATATTCCACACCGATACCTACATACACCTCGTGAGTGTTAACGGTAATTCGGCGTCGTCTGCTTTGACTGTCCGTCAGCTGTTGCAGTACATATGTGATGGCTGTCAGAAATGTATGTAGATTTAGGACGCCATTTTGTGCATATGTTCTTATCACCATCATGCGCATGAGTTGCCATTTGTCGATGTTAAACCTGCAGTAACACTGCCTCCAATTTCCATGTACCTGTCTCTTCAAATGTGAATATCTGTTATGCTCTTTTGTTTATAGAAATTTTGGGACACAATTTTTAAAGAACATTGGAATATTATTAACATTGGGAACATGGACATACTTTCACAAATATTTTATAAGGATACATGCGATATGTTAGGGATTGGGTGTTGTGAGAAATTACGTAAAATATGAAATATTGTATGTGTATTATTAATCATGTAAATCGTGGTATTTTGTATGTATGATAATGATCCTGCTATGTATTATTCCATTCCACGATAAGAGTGCGCACAAACGTTTCCCCAAGTTCCTAAACACTTTTGAGACCCTCAGGTTATTACCTCTGTGACTGCATGCAAGGAGCTAGTAATTTGTACGGAAGCCTTTTGGGGTCTTTTGTTTATTTCTTTTCTTTTTTCTTGAAATTTCAAGATACTAAGTAGAAATTTCAATATACAAACTTGAAATTTAAAGAATCATAAGTTGACATTTCAAGATGCTAACTTGAAATTCCAAGATACATACTGAGTTGAAATTTCAAGATAATGACCTTGAAATTTCAAGATAAGTTGAAATTTCAAATTAACATCTTGAAATGTCATCACTGTATTCGTACTCAGGGGTTTCACTATTTTAGTACGGGGGATACTGGTGGCACAGTTGTTTCAGTGCGCTGCAATTAGCCGTGCAGAGTTGCGTCCCTTGGGCAGGCCAGAAACTTATGATTGTGGGTTCGAATCCCTGTTCTCCGAAATTGTGTTTGCAGATTTTTCAGCACCATACCCCTGCTCGTGAGTTTCACCAAAGTGGTAAACGCCTGAGACCTGCATGAATTAGGGATTTCCCTCCGCATGATGTTGACTTAATTCATATAACTTTTCAAAGCGGCAGTAAACCCAACTCACTCAAGAGTTGTACTGACGTGACACGTAATACGATGTGCTCACATCTTTGTTTAGCGGTAGCGAGAACTAAGATCTGATTTTAATGAGTGAGTTGAGTGAGTGAGTTGGGTTAAACGCCGCTTTTAACATTATTCCAGTTATATCATGGCGTGTCAGCTTAATGTGGGAGGAAA